ACAATTTCTTAAGCCTACGCTTTACAATGAAAGGAATGTATCCATAAGCTTAAGATTTCAGGATTATTTTGGTCACGTTTGACAAGCTGCAAGCCCAGCTAAAAAAGAGACAAACAGCAGCTTAGTCTACAGTTTAGGATAACTTCATGACAATTCATTGTTACACTAATAGCAAGAGCTTAGTCCAAAAATCAATTATTTAACTGTAATTGAGCCCTTCACTTTCAAGAGTGTTAAGTCAAAATTAAGTAGAAATCTTTGAATTTCAATTTGCAGAATCAACAAAAACAAACAGTTTAACATTAAAAATACTGCTTGACAGCTTACATTTGAATTTTAACACACAAGAGTTTTATCCAAAGAAGTGTTATGGTATATTGCAAGCATAGAGCTATTTATTAAAAACTGGATCATTAGATAATGCAATTCAAGACTTTTTATTGGCTCAGTTATTATGGTATATGAGCCAATATACCATGATCTACAAATATGGTAAGCATACGAGTCAGCTTATAATTAAAAGGGAGCTAAAAAATTTAATAAAATTTAGCAATTTAATTTAACGTTTTTAATAAAACAGTTATTCCGCTTGCGCTTGTTGGATATGAGATCATTACAGCCAACTCAGCGCTATGTGCCTCATTGGCTATCTATCATCTCATATCCAACGCGCGCTCGTGGAATAATTGTTAAATATACAAATTCATAATGCGTATCAACAAACCCTCCATGTAAGTAGCACTGACTTGTACATTAATTTAAGTTGATATTTCTAAAATATTTATATTTAAAAAACTAACTGCAGAGAGAACTGTTTCGGCCTTCTGGGCCTCATCAGTGCTGTGCTGATGCTAGGATGGGGAAGAACCGATATGGTTACCCCGAACGATCCCACATTTGTGGTATCGTCTAAGCCATGCCAGAGTGCTCAAACTAGGAAAGCCTAGTGAGCTATGCTATATAAAAAGCAACATTGATTTTAGCAAAACACAATCCATTGAGTCAATTTACATCGGAACCGACATGACTACACAATGAAGCTGATTTCAACTGAGTGTGAAGTGTGATTTAGGGTCGCATTGGATATGCTTTACTTTGCTCTGTGATTGGCTAAGAACAATCGTGCCTCCTCTTAATCGTTAGAACCAACAATAACTTAACTTATGGAATTTTTCTCTTTCCCCAGTAAGTTCAGCTTTTTAGTTTTAGTTTTAATCAATTCGCCATGGGAGTGGCAGGAGAAAGGAACGGGACTATCGTCTCAATTGACACCTAACCCCTTTGTACCCACCATCCCACCCCGGGGAGGACATCCATCACAGTAATCTCGTGCGTGGGAAATTAACGTCTCCTACCCCCAACCCTGCGGGAGACGGGACCTCCATTTGTTCGTCCCTATCCGAGAAGACTTGAATATCTAACCATTTCTAGATGTTATAGAAAGGTAGCAAATTCTTCTCAATTATTTTAAGACCTTGAGTGTTGGTCCGGCCGGGGCTCAAACCCTCAACCTCCCGCACAACAGTCCAGCGCGCTATCCATTGGGCTAACTGGGTGGCGGTTTAACTTCTATTTACTTCACAGTAGGCCTCTTCTGATATTTTCACTAGCTTCGTTCCATTGTTCCTTTCATTGTTACAATACAGCAACCTATGGTACCCAGGTTCCACCAACAGAGCACCCCACAAATCCACCATGGTTTACCACAGCACCACTACACGATAAGAACACAAAAATACTACACCACTCAAATTCGTTTCATGAAGGCTGTAAAATTCCACCGTGTCACTGTTTTCTCTTTT